CAAACTGCATGCACACAATTTTCTAGAGAAGACGACAAAATTTGCTGACGCTATGGCTGTCACAAAGGACCATTCGTCGGCATCGTGTCTCAGGTTTATGAAAAACCAGAAGAAAATTGCTTGTCGCCCAGAAAAGGTCGTGACTATTTCTGCAACATGGTCCCCGATTCTCGCTTCGGTTGCAAGCGAGGTGGCTGCCGTATTTTGTCGTTAATCGTGTTATCAAGGATTTGTTTTGATGCTTCGGTGGTAGCTTGCTGCAATGTTGGTTGCTTGCTACAATGTCAACGGCAGCGGCACCGTCATCGTGTGAGGTTAGCCAAGTGCATCGTGGCGTCGTAGCGCACGCTTTTGGGGGCCCCTCGAGATCACAGCAGATACTACTGTTGCAGTTCAGCGATTGCGAAAAAATATAGCGTTGAAACGCTTTTATATCATGCACAGATGGCGTGGGAACAGCTTGCAGAGGATGTCTTCATCCATCGAAGATGTGTGAAGTCCAGCAAAGCTGAGCGACACAACTTTTCTTGCATTAAGGCATTTTTTTTTTTTGCTTATACTGAAAAAGTTTTCATAAAATTTACCCCACATAATTAATGCACCCCCAACTTTGCTCCAATTTTTCTAAAAATAGAGTGCGTTCACTACACGAGTAAATACAGTATTGGGTCCTGAAATCGATAGACAACCTCCACTCCAGGCAGAAACTACGGGAAAGTAGTGAAATTAACGAGTTTTTCAAAAATTGCCACATCTAGCGGCCCCATCGTGAACTAGAGAAGGTGACCTTTCGTGACGCCACACACACCCAAAACGGTCAAGTCAAGAATGCCAGCTCGTCGCCTGCTTCTCTCAACTCGCTCAACTCCCACTTCGGTTACCAGAACAGATATGAACAGCAACAGCAGCGAACAATGCTTCCGGCGGGGGCAAAGCACCAGCGCTTATGTGGAAGAAAAAGAGTGAGATGAAAGGAGAGGTCGCATACGAGAAGAAGAAGACAAGAACAGGTACATCCTGCATGCTCCTCGGTGAGTGTGACATCACAGCTTGCTCTCGCAAGCAGCCTTCGCCTGCTGACAATCCACCAAAAATACAACCAACTGTTGAAAAATACGGGAAATCAACTCCATTTATCTAAACAGGGGCATTTTTTTAGTCGAATTTCGAAGTTTTGTCAGTTTTTCCAATTTTTGTGCAGTATTGCTTTAAAAAGACACTACGGAGCACGATTTTTCGCATATTGATAAAATACAATTTCACAATCGCAAAAATACCAATTTAAATTTACACGATGCTTAGTAAGGGAAAAAAACGTGCAAAAAAAAATGCGAGCGGTGATGCCATATTCAAATTCCCATGCCATGCCAAACACCGTCACATAAAAAATTTCGAAGGCATCTACAGGGTCTTATACAACTTCCAAAAAATAAAAATGAAGTACAATGTTATCTGTGAGTACCATAGACATAGCATACAAAGTTTTTTCTAAAATTTCCTCGAGCAAATGCCACAAAAATACCAAAAATACACTTTGAAATTTCTTACGTCAGGCGTGGAGATTTTGGCACGAAATTTAAAAATGGGACTTTGATTTTCTCCACTAATAATAAACTTACGATGGTGAGACAGATGGCATTAGAGTTCTCAGAGTGCAGTTTGTGAAAATAAACTAAGTCATGGTTCCTCCTTAGTGTCCCTTCAACGTGCACTGACATCGCACAACACACGGACCTATTTCACTTCCATTGAAATGCGACTGATTACAAACTAGAGGTGGCTACATACATACGCCGAGGATGGACAGACCCACGCCTTAAGGAGCTTCGCCCCTAAAAGGTGGAGTGTATGTGGTAAAAAGGGTAGTTCAAAAAAAGGAATAATATCGGCCTTTAACGAGAATTGCTAGTGAATTTTTTTTAATAAAAAGATAAGTAACTGTAATTGCATTTTTAATTACAGTAACTGAGTGAAAAAGTAACTAGTTACTGGTAACACATTACTAGTAACTAGTTACTGCCTAAGACTGACAGTGGTGAAAGGATCGAAGCTCCAAGTACACTTATTCGTCCTTTGATCGAAATCATACAAAAATCACATGCAAGTATCTTATCGTCCTTCTAGTCTAGTTTCTAGTCCAATGATCAGTCGTATGAATAGCCGCCTGCGAGAGTTGTCCTGGCAGCCTCGTTTGGACAACCATGTAGAACAACTGGTTAAAAAATGTGTTTGCCAATCATGTGACGAATCTGCAAGGCCAATTACAGCCCCTATGCAGCCAGCAATTTTCTCTGACAAGCCTTCGGAGAAAACCGAGCCCATCTGAGCAAGCTCCCATCAATTGCCGTTATGCAGTAATGCTTATTGATAGCCGCAGCAAATGGCCAGAAGTATATTTTCAAGACAAGTTTCTACAGCGACAGTCGGCACTTTCTGCTTGAAGTGTTGGCTAGTGATGGCGACCAGTGCGAAATAGCTACAGACCACGAACCACAGTTCAGCTCGGCTGAATTTGACGAGTTCCTTCAGGAACAAACTTTCCGCCACTGCGCTTAATCTGTTTTACCAACTGCAAGCAAACAAGCTTCTTGAAAGGTTGGTTAGATCTCATTAATATGGTGCCAAACACATAAAAACGAGACTTTAAGTATACACTTCTTTCCCTATTCATTAACGAGGGTCTCCTACTAGCAGACTTGGTGCCTTAGGTTGTATAAGAGGGACTATTGGTCAGCTGCCAGCTCGTAATAAGTTCATGTGCTATGTGGCGCCACACATGCTCATAAAAGAAAGTGCCACACTCACCACCATGGCTACAGATGGCGCTGACTGACACTCCCATGTTTAAATTCACATATATACCCAATAAAGTGGCTGGGAGGATAGCCGCTGTGGTAGCTCAGTGGTAGGGCATCGAACGCGTTATTTGAAGGTCGCAGGTTTGGTTCCTGCTCACGGCAAAGTATCTTTTCACCCACTTTTCTTTCTTCACATTTACCTTACAACTTGGTCTAATAACCTCCCCTATACTTTCCTTGGCATTATGGTCTATTAGATTTCATTAATATTGTGTCAAAACACAGAAAAACGAGCCCTTAGGTATCTACACATATATATATATATATATATATATATATATATATATATATATATATATATATATATTAAGAAAAAAAATTTATACTTAAGGCTTCGTTTTTCCATATTTTATACAATATTAATGACATCTAACAGACAATAATGCCAAGTAAAGTATAAGGGAAGATATTAAACCGAATTGTAATGTGAATATGAAGAAAGAAAAGTTTGTGAAAAGATAACTTGCCATGGGCAGGATATATATATATATATATATATATATATATATATATATATATATGAAAATGCAAGAAAAAAAATAATCCAGAAAAAAACTCTGGTGGGTGGAATCGAACGTACGACCTTTTGCTTGTGAGTGTGAGGCATTAGCCACTGAGCCACGAAGGAGCACCTCCAACGTCGAAACGACAAGCTATTCATATATTCCACTTACCACTGGCGATGGCCACCTCAGGGGAACTATCGTGTTCTTAGTATTACTAGCAAGATGGCGCAATGAAGGCGTGTCACCAGATCGTCTCGACGTGGCAGCGGCACGCTCTCATCACCCACACGTACTTTGCGCCGCGGAGAGCCGGGGGGGGGGGGGGGGGCAATCACGCGTGCGCGGTCTCACCTTGGGTGGGGAGAACAGCACGCCTTGGGCTTTCACCGGAACGATTCTGTTGTAGCTACCGGCCGCACAAAGGTTCCTGTATTCGTTGCAGCGCGCTTTTCAGGCACAGCGAAGTAACAACTGAGACGCTTATTCGCGTTCATCTGTAGGTGTGAGCAAATTTCATGCGTCATTTATGTGTGAGAAACGCGGGGCGCATTATGATCTACTTGCCATTTTTCGCATGACCTTCCAATTTGTTGATAACGCATTCATTGCTTCACCTTTGCGGCAAAGCTGCGACTTTTTTTGCATGTAAGGTGCGGTTCTCTTAATTAATTTTCAGTTGTGTGTCTTTTATATGTAAAAATATATATACACTTGTACAACGATAAATCCCTTTTTAATCTTGCACACCATAAATGGTCCAAGACAGCATTTGTAAAAATACATTTAATATTGGTTATCATGGTTAAGTGACCTACTGTAGCCTCCAATGTCAGCTACTTAATATTCAAACAGTTTAGTAAGTCCACTGCAATGGTGCAGTGGTTGCGGTGCTCGGCTGCTGACCTGAAAGCCATGGCTTCATTCCCAGCCACGGTGGTCTCATTTCGATGGAGGCGAAATGCTAAAGGGCCATGTATTGTGCGATGTCAGCACACATCAAAGAACACCACATGGTAAAAATTTCCAGAGCCCTCCACAACCGCATCCCTCATATGATATTGTGGTTTCGGGCCATAAAACCCAAGATCATATCATTATTAAGCAGTACAGTAAGCCCAACATGCACACTATTTTTCTGTTCTAGCTGCTTTTCCTTAAAAGAAGCAGTAAAAGTAACACAATAGAAAAAGGGCATAGCATTGTTTCATGCTTTGTTACCACCTGCTCAACTAACACCTGCTCAACAAAGTGTTCTATGGACATGAAATATAGAAAAGCAAGAGTACTTTTTGCATTTCATCCCGATTAAGTCTGTTATTAAATGCACATATGGGATGTGAAAATGAAAAAAAGCACAACCACTTCATTTGACATACACTCTACCAATACTTGTGATATGTTTGTGCAGCTCAAAATACAGTGCAATTCGCAAACTGTATCATTCAGCCCAGAGCCAGAGCCCACTCACTGAGTTTAGTGAATGTGTCTACAACGAGCAGTGAACACTACAGTGATTCGCACTGGTAAATTCAAATTCCAAAACCTGACATCGACTACAAGTGCAATTGAGGTATTCAGAAAAAAAAGGCCTAGTTTTCTGTGCATAAATGCATGAATTAACAAAATAAAATGTTACCTTTATTGTCAGCTGCTATGAAACCAAGAATGTTGTCATGCCTTAGCATCACTGTTTGATAGATCTCCACCTCCCGGAACCATGACCGCTCATCCCGCGATGAGAATATTTTCACTGCCACAGATTCGCCACGCCACCGGCCTCGCCACACTTCGCCATAGCGGCCTTTTCCGATGACTTCTACCAGTTGAATCTGGCGTGCTATGCTCCTCTGCACCAGCAATGGCAAACCTGCAAGGCAAAGCAGTATCTTCTGCCCTAAATAAATGTGCAAACATAAATGAAACATAAATCTGCATCATAAAAATAAATGTTGCAAAAAATGAATTAGATACCAATAAGTGTTCCTGCAACATACGCGGTGTCAAACTAACAAACTAACTAGCAGTGTTGTTATAAAAGCTTAGAGCAAAGCATGAAGCCCAACATTGTTTGCACCTATATATGGTTGTAATGGTGGCAAACCATGCAGTCAAACTATTAAATATTCAGTTATTTATTGTGCAAACTCGGGCCCACAGAAGAAGGAGCACTTAAGGTACAAGGAACACACGCAGTACAACGATAGCAGCAAGCACACTCAAGCACAAAGGTTCTCATAGATGCACGATCATACATCCCAGCATTGTTGCTGGCACTCATGTCAGAGCTTGTCATGTGCGCAGTCTGATCAGAAGATTCCACAACACTCAAGAAAGTTCCACAGCTTCCAGACGTGGTTTGTACCAAACCATAATGTGCGCGAAACCCCTGTCACACGGCAACCACAGAACTTCATTTACCTCCGTTCTGCATTCAACTCCGTACTGGAGCTTTATGGAAATGGAGTTGTGGCTATGTTACACAGCTTAGCGCAGGCTTTCGATGGGAGTTTCACAGGGCGGAAACGGCGCTACTGCATTTGTCAAAAAATCCCATCTTTCACATACAAAGTTGCCTTAAAGTCGCCTTTTTTTTTATGCATTCTAATAAAAATAAAGAGACAAATTACACTGTGCACGTGCGTGCGTCTCAACATGCATAAACAAACAATACGACGCTACATTTGCTGGTGGCGGCTTAGAAAAGCATTGGGTGTAGAGGGTACAGACACTGATGTCCTGAAAAATAGAATTAAAACTTGGACTACACAGCCTGTAATGCTATACTGAACAAAGTGAAATGTTAAAATCTATAACTGAGATTACTAAGATGATTTTGTTAGCGTGATTTTCTTCATAGCAGTAGCTATGTGGGAACGAGTACTCCATCAAGCCCAAATGGTCATTACTGAACTCCCTTTTCCAAAAGCACCCTTTAACTTCCACGCCAAAATGGAGGCCGTGTGATATGAACCTCATCTCCCTTGACAAAAAGACGAAGTACTTAAACAGAGTTCTGGAGTGGCTGTGTGACAAGGGCATTAGCCATTGAAAGTTGTTCACAATGAAAAGAACTATATTAACGCGTGTTGAACTGATCTAGTTGGTACTAAATACTATAAAACAATACAAGAAGAAAATGATAGGACAAGCTGGCGCTTGCACCTGAAAGATATGCACACTTGAACATACCCAATGGCAACAGTCTTCAGCACGCACGAACAGCCATCCATTGCTATAGACATTCTTATCTTCTTTCCAGACATTTAGGAAATGCCCTACAGACGTAAGTGTTTCTCTGTATGGTGTTTGTTCAATCTTGATTTTTCATCGACCTAAAATACTATGCTGCCAAACCCAAGTGTGCACCTGCACTTTTAGAAACAACTTGGCAGATGGGCGCCGTAACGTACAAGTACTTGAACTGGCATAGCGCATTACGGAAAAGAAAAAATGGCCGAGCAGACCAACACAAAAGGACGAAGCACAATAGGCAGCACTCTGTCCAATTTTGTTGGTCTGTTCCGAACATACAGAATTCCACCGAACATACGTCACGAAAATGCGGTGGTACTCTTGTCAGCCTCTTAGTTTTGGGCGGTAGCCAAAAACCACAGCACCTACCACAATAGCTGTTCTGTTTTTAGTGGTGCACGCACTGTTTGTCCTTGTACAAAGACAGAAAAATGGTGTGCCGACTAGCTGTCATGATGATTTGCACAGGAAGGCACAGAAAAGATTAAATTAGTTTTTCTTTTTTTTTTGCAGTTTTCCATTTACAAAGACACAAGAAATTAGCTGCAGCTATAAAATGCTATCGAGAACTTGTCTTCCGCGTTGGTTCATCGGTTATGTCTCAGAGCAACTTGCTCAGCATAATCAGCTCTGTGAAGCACTTGTCACTGAAATGTGCCACACCACATTTTATAGAATCAGCCTTGTACGGAGGCATAGCATGTTTACCTCAAAGCGCATTATCGTTGTGGATAGTATCATCATATCTGGAAATTTTTCACGGTTTTCATTGTTGCAGAAGTCCTAGATGCATCAGATTTCATTATACTTGCATGCACTAAAGGTGTCATGTGTCACTCAGTCACGAAGCATGTGTTCATTAATGCAGCAGCAAAGAAAAGTATGTCCTCAACTACGATCCTGATTGTAAGTGGCTGCGATGACACATCTGACAGAAGCATATCGAGCAGGGCTGTTCTGGTTGCGGTGCTCTTTATTCGATTTTCACATCTGTCGGAATTCACAGAAAAACAGCACCCAGAAAACATGCGGAGAGTCTTTTACAAGCTGTACGCATTTCACTGTCTCAAATTGAGCATATGAAGGGAGCCGTGGATATGAAAGGTATGTAACCGCATCATCCATAGCATGTATTTCAAGCATTATCACAAGCATATTCCACATGAAAGTGTCGCCGAGATTGCCTTTATTGTTTGCATAAATAACCTCCTTGGCACATTAATTATATGCATGGACTTACAGTAACAGTTCGTGACTATGTATGTTTTTTTATTCCACACTTAGGCATACCGTACACAAGAGCCTCTTAAATAGCTGAACTGCGTCGGTCATTCTAGCATCGATTGACAAATTAAAACGTACATGTGTCACCTAGACTGCTGCAGCAGCAACAACACAGCGCAAATGAGCCGCATTCGCACCGTGAAGATACCCAACATTTGGATGAGGTTATCAGAGCTGGAGCTCAATGTCAGCGTGGCTCATATGTTCATTTCAGAGTCCCCCTCACAGCCACTACTATTTCCCCTGTAGCAGCCGCCTCTTGTAGTAAACGAGCGGGAGGCACCCCGACACGTGGTGCTTAGAGGCAGTTTCTGCACCTGCTGTACCAGTTGTCACATGATCATAGAGGCCAGTAGTGAGCTTCGACTGGCATAGTAGCACCTGGTGACATAGCTAGGCAGAGCCAACGCACCACTACAGTGGTTAGAAGGGGCAGTGTGACGGGCAGGGGCCAATAGGTGCACATACGGGCGATAAAACATGGTGGCGGGTTTAGGCGGCGATGCGCACATCGAGAGCACGTTCAGCGAGGTTGTTCGAGCGCGGCTGACGACAACTATATTTTGCTGGTTGAGCCGCGTGCATTCGTTAATTTCTCATATATTATACAAGTGAGCAGCTTTATTGAGTTGCCAGTCTTCGCGCAAGATATGCGCAAGGTGGGTGCGATTAAGGGCGGGTGACAGAAGACAGTGTTTCTTATGCAAATTTCAAGTTGGGCGCCCGTCCTACATAAAAAAATGTGCGTTTTTTGCTGTTGCTGTTGCCTCGTTCACCTGCCACGGTGGTCTTTTGGTTAAAGGGGCCCCGTAACACTTTTTAAGCATGGTCAGAAAACGCTGCCAATCGGTAGTAGAGGCTCCCAACAAGACGCGAGCCAAATATTATAGCAAAGCACGCGGCCTGGAATTCACAATAAAGTATCAAAGTCAGCAAAAATTGCTTTCTATTTTCTCGACAAATGGCGGAATATGCCCAGAAATCACTCGTGAATTACCCATCTATCAGCCACTGGCTTATTTGAACATGGCGCGCTCGCTTGTTACAGAGATCGTCGCAAGAGGCCGCAACTTGCCCTCGCGTGCGCGCGCGATAACACCGAAAAAGCGGAGCATTCAAAGAAAAAAAAGAAAAAAGTGCTCAAGGCCACGAGGCGCGTGTGACGTTTTTTTGTGGCTTTGCCATCCCTCCCTACTTAGCTTCCAGCACTTTCGTCGGGACGACAGAAAAGAGAATGCAATTTCAGCATGTGACAAACCTTTGTAACTCCACTAGCACTGCACGGATTATTAAAATTTTTGCAGCGTTAAATTTGTGAGACAATAAGCTATTGCAGTGAATTCATTCTGTGGTTACTTGAAAAAGCATTTCAGGGCACCTTTAAGGCACTCGTCTGCTGACCCACACGTCGCAGGATCGAAGCCTGGCTGCGGTGGCTGCATTTTCGATGGGGGCAAATATATACTTGAGACCCCTGTGCTGAGACCTATGCGTGCGTTGATGAACCCTGGGTGGTTAAAATTCTAGGAGCCCTCCACTATGGCGTATCTCAAAATCATAGGGTGGTTTCGGGATGTTAAACCGTAACAGTTATTATTAACTTGAATGTTTCAAATTGGGCTACATTCCCTCACCGTTTATATATTGTGCATGTCACAACGCTACATTTCGTTCATTCTAATACCACCAAGTATATCCAAAAAGCATTTCTGGCAGTGTAATAAAAATGCTTGTACGACGCATCCAGCTAGTTCTGCAAGAAAACTTTTTTTTTTTTCTACATGATCATGCATAAGTTGAGCTTGGCGAGAAAAAGTTCAACACAGTGAAAAAAAAAACAATCAGGAGCTATTAGACGGCGGCGAGTATTTGCATGCCTTATAAAGCGTTTAACTAAAACGCCACGCTTCCTTCGTGACTGCTGCTTTTGCAAGAGCTTTCGTGGATACTTGCTGTGTGTGCAAGGACCCTTGCTTACAAAAGTGAGGCTGCACTTAGAAGAAAAGTACGAGCCAGCAAAAGACTCGTACTTTCCAACTGTGTTCGGTTTTATACCGCAGCCAGCAGATAAAATCAGACAATGTGCACTGTTCAGTGCCAACTATGCCTCATCTGGTGAGGCAACATCGCATTTTCGTAGCGGTTTGGTTTTTAGAAAAATGAAGCAACTTAATGTTCCAGTTTCCTCACCTGCCTGTTCAAACTTCACCAATTTTGGCAGCAGTAGGTGATCCAACTCGGCACCTTCGAGTTTGTGAAGGCCGAAAGTGGCAGTCCCTTGTTCAGTGGGAAACGATAGTTTGTTCCAGCTTGTGTTTGAAAGCCTGATGT